TTTTTTCCCTTCCTTTTTTATGTTAATGTCCGTTTCCTTGAATACTCTCACATTTTCATTCTTGTGTGGCTTTGCGATAGTCCAGCAATTCCTATCGTTTGGAAGGTAGCCGAAATCTAAACCCAGGGTTCTCAGGTGCCCCACTATCTCTTGATTTTTGTAGCAGAGCCTGCCCTACCCGCATAAGCGAACCAGCATTGCTTTGCTGTGGACGCCACTTGTAGACTCGTGATCAGAGGCTGGATGCTAAGAGCATAAAGAGCCATAGCGATCGGATCTGCGGTCCCTTCTGATGACAGGATCTCTTTGCCGTCCGTGATAAGTTAATAGTAGTTACAATATTTACTTCCTTTTGTGATTGGCTTTGACTCTTTCTAAAGTATTGTGTTGTTGATTTCGAGTGGCCTTGTGAATCCCGTACTAAATATGAACGAATGGCTAAATAGTACCGAACTAACTAAAGATTGCATGACATTTTGATATCCTTGTTTTGCAAGTTAAACACCCTAAGTGTTTCGAGCGAGCGTTTTTGACTTCCGCACCACAAAGATATAACATTTGTTAAATTAAGGAGTACTCCACTGTTTATTGACTTGACCCTGTTTCGATTTGTTGTATGGAGTTTAGAGCTCGACCCTGTGAAATGTCGCTTCTTTATAGGAATTACTTTCTCTGTTTTTTACTGGATTTATTTTTCAACGAGCTATGACAGTTTTTGACCAAGGAAGTTTAACATGGAAAAATTTGTAAAAGGCAAGGTTTAGAAGCATTGTATTTGACAAGAAGAATACAAAAAAAAAATAAATAAACACTACGAAAGGCAATTCTGGTCCATTAAAAGCTTCTTAATAAATTTCCTTCACAAGTATTTTTTGATAATGTCCATAGCGAGCAAAATTGAAAGATATATTTGTATGTATGAGAATGGCATGTAATGTTCAGCAGAAGTGAGGACAGGGATGAAGGTTAGGAGTAGGAGCCTGGGGTCCACAGGCGGCATGTGTCACTTTACCTTCCCTTCCCCCCCCCCCTTCCTCCCCTTGCTTCCACCATTGTACTTGTAATAGAAAAATAAAATCCCTGTCCACTTAAACAGAACAGTCCTACTTCGTAGCTGAGTTTTTCTGGAGCTAAGGCGTTGCTGCTCGTATTTACTGGTATATTTACCAATGATCGATGGATTTGACGCGTTCTTTACACAGACGAGACAAACTCTAAACTTACAGCGATCTCAGCTGGGTATTGTTACTGAAAATGCCTGGTGGTAATTTCTAAAAACTGGTTATTGTTCAACCGCTTGCCAAAGGTTATATAAAGGAGTGTTAATTAAATTGTGCTTGTCAACATAGTGCAGGTACTGTGGTTGCTCGTAAAATGTTGAGTGTCTGATGTCTTCTTTTTTGAAGAGCTAAGATAGGGTGCTCGTTTTTTGTGTGTCTGTGTGTGTATTTGTAAAAGACTGAAAACAACTGAATGCTTTACACATGCCCATTCTCCCTTCTCCCATTACTCATTGTTGTAATACATATGGCTTGACATTACTCACTAGTCCTCATTATAAGCTAGGCGACATTGATTGCAGAGAGGGGGAGAGTAAGGTAACAGGAAACAAAATGTCTCAATAGTTTTGTTTGAGTTTTCTGATACAGTGTCTTCACTTGTACAAGCACAAATGATCACACCATGTTTAAACTTCCCTGAGCAGTGTCAGCTCGTTTAATATTTATTATTCCTAAAGAAATTCTTTGAAAGCTTAGAAATTAAAGAAACCCGACATGTTAGTCTTGTGGTCAAGCTAAAAGAAGCAGAGTGGACTCCATTGTCGCGAACAGAGGGCCTTACATCGAAGAGGATCTAACTCGAAGGGTTAATAATCTTTAAGGATAAATGAAACAGCTCTATAAAGTTTTAAAGAGCATTTCTGGACTCAAAATTGATTGGTTCCTTTTTCTTCTCTAGGATTCTCTCGTCCATCATTACTGACATCTCTGAGAGGGGTGATTTCTTAATCATAGTTGTTTATTTCATGTGCGCATAGAACGTTCTCTCTTCGTCCTTCTCTGTATGAGGTTGCATTTTATCCTTTCTTGCCCTTTTAAAATCTTACTACTGTCAACCGATTACTCGAATCTTCAAGGGACATTGAAAAAGGTTCGAGTTATCTGTTAAAACAAGTGGACTGGAATTAAAGGAAACGTTGTTTGCTGTTTTTAGTGTCCATGCAGTATACTTAAAGCACCAAAAGGTTGTTTTGCGAAGGACGCCAAGGCAAAAATCTGCAACGTACTATATGTAAAACCACCGAAGAGGATTT